TACATACATACATACATACATACATAAATATAAATAACAGAAGCCCATTTTTGTGGGGGCCAGGTCATGTGTTTGAGTAGGGTTGACCTGTTGCACATCTTCTGCAGAGGGCTTAAGGTAAACAGTATATTGCTGCACCCTCATATAATTGCTTTAGGAATGAGCAAGTTATCAAGTTTAAACAAATGAGAGTGACCTTTAGCTTCCCCGCAGGAGTATCCTGTTCACTGCATTATGGGAATGTGATCTGTCCACCACTGCCTCAGAAGGCAGCCATAGGTTGCCACAAGTCCATCTTGCAAAGCCCATTGACACAGGAAAAGCTGTTCTCACTAACATACTGTAAATCACTGTCTCAGGCGTTACCTGAAGCCATACTGTCATGTGAACCTTTCAGTTACATGAGATATCAATTCCAATTACTGATTAGCCAGTAAGGATTCACCTTTCAATCATTTGTACCCAAAAGATTCTCAGCAGATAAGAGCCCAATATATTAAATGTACCAAAAGCCTGCTGTTCTTTCTATACAACTTTGAAGATTTTATTCTCAAATACTGTTCAAGGGACAGGAAGTCATCAAGAATGATTCTAAGTCTTTTTTTTAATACTTATTATTTATTTGTTTTAGTATTTTAGTAGTTTATTGGCAGCAAGTATTTCATAGACTTTTTTTTTTTTTGGTCAGTCATGGGGCCTGAATTCTAGGCGTGGGTACTGTCCCTCAGCTCTTCAGCTCAAGGCTAGTGCTCTACCATTTGAGCCACAGTACCACTTCTGGCTTTTTCTGCTTATGTGGTGCTGAGGAATTGAACCCAGGGCCTCATGCATGAAAGGCAAGCACACTACCACTGAGCCACCTTCCCAGCCCCTGATTCTAAGTCTTAAAAGAACTTTAATATGTTCTAAGATTAAGTCCAAAAATAGCACACTTGGATGTGGTTTGGAGCTCATCTACTCCTACTAATTTTTTTTTACAACAAATTAAAGAAAATATGTAGGATGAATGAATGACATACCTTAAATACAGACAGGGAGTAAAATCTGGATTAAATTGTCCCATGAAATTATTATGTATTATACTGACTAACATGAGCTCTATTTACTAAAAGAGATCTTGGAGTTGTGTGTGGGGGAAGGTATGGTTTTTTATTTGCTTTTTAAATTTTGCTGTTGTTTGTATGTGTTGTTGCATATTTTTTGCCTTAAAAAAGAAGAAAATAGCAAAGCCTAGAAAACCTGTTGTTTCCAAATCCAATTTTCCTTGTTCTTCCCAAGAGAACATTTCTTATCTCTTCACAAAACAGAAAAACATAAAGTCATTTGATATGACACATTTTGATAATCTCAGGGTTTGAAACTCTGATGTGTTGGAATTACTCTTTCCATGCTAGCTGTTTTCAGTCTGATATGTATTTTCTAATATACAATGGTAGGTTCACAGGCTAGCCTACAAAATGGAAAATAACAGTAAGTACCTTTTCAACCCTAAATGCCAACCAGGACTCAACTAAATGTTCAATCCTAGATCAGGAGGCCATGAAGTGCATGAAGACAACAGGAAAAGGAAATCAATAAGAAATTTTCCTATCTCTCCACTCCATTCCCATTTCCTGGCTACAAAACTACTTCAAAGGGAAATTTGAAAAGTGTGAAAAATCTTTTATGGGCTCTCTCCCTTTATGCTTTCTTCTCCCAATTCTTAATGCCCCTTTTTCTAGACTTCAGAAATCCCCATCATAATAATGCAGATACTATATTATCAGTCATTGACTATGAGTCATGCACTGAGATAATAAACTCAGAAACATTAAATAATTTGTCTATAGTCATGTGGCAAGCCAAAATATAGACTAGATATGCAAGACTCTGAATTCCATGCACTTAAGCTTCAGACTATATTAGTTCCTCCACTCTGAGCTGACACCTGGCTGCTGGGAGAATCCAGTGGACTCTGTGCTGGAAACTGCCAGCCTCCCTTGACCTGCAACAAGGATAGCCAGCTTTTATTGAAACCAGTCTCCTTTAGGAAACAGTAGGAATGCAATCTGAAGTAAGTCATGGTACCCCTTAACATTTCGAGTAGTGATATGCACATATTACTATAAACTCACCTCTTCACCAGCAGAATTTTAGGTGACAGATAAGAGCAAGAAATTTAAAAAAAAAGTAAAATGCAAGTAGAAGTACACATATCTTGGACTGAGGAGTGTCTAGTAAGAATTTCCCTCCAAGGCTGGGTGTGGTAGAACACACCAGTAATTCCAGACAATTGGGAGGTAAAGATGACAGGGATTGCTGTTTGAGGCCAACTTGGACAAAAAAGTTTAAAAAAGACCCTTATCTTTTGTGATAAATAATCTGGGTGAGGTGGTGCACATCTGCAATGCTATCTCCTAAGCAAGGGGCTTAGCTAGGAGTCAGAGTGTGAGAAAAATGAAAAGCAAAAACAAAAACAAACAAGCAAAAACTAAAACAGAGTTATTGGTTAAAAGTGGTAGAACAGCTGGGTGCTGGTGGCTCTCACCTATAATCCTAGCTACTCAAAAGGTTGAGATCTGAGAATCAAGGTTCAAAGCCAGCCCAGGAAGGAAAGTCCCTGAGACTTATCTTCAAGAAACCACCAGAAAAGCAGAAGTAGCGCTGTGGCTCAAGTGGTAGAGTGCTAGCTAGCCTTGAGCTGAAAAGCTGAGGTACAGTGCCCAGGCCCAGGCCCAGAGTTCAAGCCCCTCAACTGGCAAATAAATAAATAAAAATTAAAAGGGGTAGAGCACAGACCTAGCAAGTATGTCTTCAAAAACCTCAGTATTGCCAAAAAAAAAAAAAAAAGTCAGTGCCCATGACCGAAAAGAAAAAAAAAAAAAAGAAACAACATTGTATAATTGGCATTCAGTAAATTCTTGCTAACTTTATTTCCTATAGGAAGAAAGCCAAGCCAAGAGCAGGTATAGTGAGGTATTATAACAAAAGACAGCCTGGGGAACACAGTGTGAGAACTCCTAACTCCTGGGCCCTTATGCTTTCTTTTACATACCTATAACCCAAACTGCCCATTTATCTTTCTTTTCAGCTGAAGGTCTGCCTGAATGAAAACAAAACTGATTAAAAACGGCTAAACCCACAGGAATTTGGTCAGACAAAAATTTCCTTTTTAAATAGAACCAACTCTCATCTGAAAACAGCTTCTAGCAAGCATTACTTTATAAAATAATTTATTCCCTGCCTCTGTTTTGCAGTTAAAAAAAAAGCATCCATCTCTCTCTCTCTCTCTCTCTCTCTCTCTTTTTTGTCAGTCATAGGGCTTGAACTCTGGGCCTGGGTGCTATCCCTCAACTCTTCAGCTCAAAGCTAGCAATCTACCACTTGAGCCACAATGCCATTTCCGGCTTTTTTTTTTTTGTTGTTTATGTAGTGCTGAAGAATCGAACTCAAGGCTTCATGCATGAGGGGCAAGCACTCTACCACTGAGCTACCTTCCCAACCCCCATCCATCTTTTCTTAAGAAATTGTCTGTTAGTCTCATCTCCCTTTTTTCAAAAAAATTCAGTAGCTCTAGTTAGTTTAAATTTGCTTTTCAGTAGATGCTAGAATGCTAAAACTCCTAGATTTGACCGGCCTGTCCTCTGAGACCTGCAAAATTACAAGCCTAAGAAAGTAATGGGAGTCAGTGCCTCTCTGAGAAAGAGTTCAGCTCCTGCTTTGGTATCACCCATTCTTGGAAAGGAATCTTCAAAGGCCAATAGCTATCAAACAAGCATATAAATAAACCCTATGAAGCAAATGAAGAGACCATAATCATATATTCCTGAAAAAACAATTAGCTGAACTCCTTCAGACACAAACATTCAGAGAACGCTTTCCAAAGGGCAAAGGATAAAGCCATGAATGTCTAAGAACAAAGCAAATAAAGATATTGAAGGAAATAGCCCTCCAAATGAATACAGAAACAAAATTCTTCTCACCACCATTAAAGTATTATGTTCTTACTTAGCAGAAAGTTTACAGGTCCCCAAAGCAATTGTAGAAGCCAGTCTACAAAACTGCACCTGAAAATGAAGAATCTATAATTCTATGAAGTAGGCACAAAAATTTATCATCTCCGTGCCTTACAATGGTCAATGGTTATTCACATATCTGAATTAAGACTACATAATTTTAAACCATATAAAACCATTCCTGAAAGTTTTAAAGGATTCTTATATCTGAAATCATGCTCAGAGCATCATAAACGTGAGCAAGTAAAATGTTCCATTAAACTCTTTACTTAGAGGAGGCTCCTTAAATATTAATGATCTAATATCTACCAGGTCCTAAAGAAGATAGAAAAAATGTTAGACATATTTGGTACACACTTTCATGTTGTAAAACATATATAAACCCCCAACTTTCTCTTCACGTGCAAAACAAGACTGTGTACTTTGGTATTTTTTTTTTTTTTACAACCTTTTCAAAGTCTTATTCTCTTTCTTCTAAATAAATAGTTTGTTTGAACCTGCTTTCCATTCATTTGTCAAATAAATATTTGCAGTTGGAGTTACTGGCCTTTCTCATCCACAGTTATAACAGGATTGTAACGAAGTCAGTAATAAAAAATAAATAAATTGATTTTGCTGAACTCTTTTTCAGCACAGATGGTTTAGGAATAAAAAAGAAATCTGTGGGGGGTTTTTTCCTATTGTAATCTTATAAATACGCCTCTAACATGCTTATATTTTTTTCTAAGTACTCTACCACTGCCTTGTAGTAGTAAACTTTAGAAAATGTTGAGAATCCCAAGAGCTGCCTACAGACCAAATGGCATGCTTGCTTTGGGCAGGCCCAGCGTCTCATTTCGGCTTCTCTCACCCCCTCTAGCGTTTGCAAAGCTTATGTGTCTGATTATCCAGTTTACCTCACTGAACAAGAGCTTGCCTAAGTCCTGCCCATCTATGACATCACCCCGTTCCTCAACCACTACGAGGTGCAGCTTTAAACTTCAGACTTGGAGGTGGGCTGTGTGCAGTAGGCTGGAAGGCTCTCTTCCCTCGCTCACTCCTCAGCGCAGGAGTGATCCGAAGCCGAACAAACTCTGGCTGCTGCAGCTGCTGTTGGTTTTGTGTGGACTGGACGCAGCACTTGGGAGACGGAGAGGGTTATTTCTCCAATTTACAGTCAATGGAATTACAGCTCTAAGCAGCAGTGTATATAGGATTGCTTTTTCTCGTCTTCTTGGTAAGTGCTTTCTATGTTCGTTTGTTCAAAAAAATTTTTTTCCTTTTAATCTTCCCAGAAAGTTTCCTTGGTTTTACTCTCCAGAAAGAAATGACTTGGTGCTATAAGGAATCCGAACAGGGGCGTTTGCTCTGTCACCAGTGCGAACAATTTAAGTGCTGCGTGCAAGCCAGCAAGGAAAAAATTTTGACTAGTCAAATGCAATAAGTTTCTTGGAATATTCTTTCCTGCAAAAAAATATGTAAATAGCTACATCTTAACTAAAGTAATTGCCATTTGAAAGAAGCTTTACCGACAGTTAGTTGGGAAGTTAAAATGCTTAATATTAGATAGAGAATACAAGGATTTTTCACAGATAGGAAAGTGAAAAAGGTCTTGCTAACTTGGTGTATGCTATATGTGTGGTAGGATCACCAATGGCTGTTTTTACAACTGTGAAAGAAAATCAATAATCCCTCAGTCCATGAGTACAGTACATGAAAAGCATACATCTTTGCTCACAGCTAGCTGAGCTAGTAGTCCCAGAGACTTATGTGCCTCTCTCTCTTTCTCTCTGTAAAAGATTAACAGCTACACCTAGATTTTAAAGCTTGCACTGCTTTCCAGCCAGAGCGCCTTCATGCAATTCAGGCTTGTGAATCTCAACTAGCCAATTCAACTATGAGGAGGGGGAGACTCTTCCAAACCATATTCTCCCTCCAGTTGAACGCCAAAATCCATTGCTTGGGCAAGTATGGTATGTGACTAGCATAGTAACTGACTAAGACTACTCAGAAAAACCAACAAAGCTCACTCTGGGAGCTATGCTGGATATATGCAGTGAGTTCAGGGTAGAAGGGAAGGGGAAGAAAAAAGAGTAAACCCTCATCAAGTGGGAGATGCAGAGTATCCATCCTCTTGCAACTCAAAATGGCAAAATGGTAGATTAGAACAAATGCATTCATAATAAAGCTTCCAAAAAGTAGTTATATGTATCTGCTCAAACATATTTTTTTCAATTAGGTTTGAAACAAAATGGTTGCATAAAGGTAAAGAGGCCCATGTTTTTTCCTCAACATCCAAGGTAGAGAGGGAGTATTAGTTTGTATTTGTTTATTTAGACTTAGAAAAAGAAATCTTCATATTTTTCCATTATGGAGCCAAGTCTTACAATGGTTTTAATAATCAGTTATTTTAAATATTCTTGTTACATCTATCTGCTTCGAAGTGCACATATATGTTATTAGCATGAAACATCAGGAATAAAACCAGCAGAAAAGTGCTTCAGTTCTAGCAAGTCCTTTCATTTACCCCTAGCTGCATGAGAATATCCTGACTCGTACAAACATAAAGAATAAATTTGTCTGCTTTAAGATAGATCACTTATGCCAGACTCAGATTGAGAGATGACTGATATTCATCTCTTCATACATGAGTAAAGAAAAACCTGAATCCTTTAAAAGTATCACAATATTACTGTGATTTCTCCAAAAATTAATATCAGATTATAATTTTAAGATTAGTTACACAACTTAGCAAACATATATATGCACATATGTCTACTTACTAGCCTGAAATTAAAAAGTTATGAAAATGTGATTGCATTCACTTAACTAAGAATATTATAGATTGATTAAAAAAATAGAAACAAAATACATCAAGTCCAAGGATAAGCAAAGATATTTGTGAATGAATAAACAATGAATTCATTAATACTGTATTCCAGGAGTACTTAGTCAATCAGTTATTAATTGGGCTTTTCATTTCTCTGTACATACCTCCGTTCTAAAATGAATTACGTTTAGATTCAAAATGCCCAATTAAACCACTTTCTAAACATAATGTTTTTGAAATATGTAATCGGGCAGCAAAGTTTTCAGCCAAAATATGAAAAACAGAAAGGAAATTTGTCATAACTAAATGTGGCAGCAAAATAGAAGGTAGATTTCTTTTGCTTTCAAGTGTTAATTAAAAAGCCTCCAATTCTATCAAAACTTTTTCAGAGCTAAATGAAGCAGTGTGAAATAAATTTGGTTGAAATCTTGTGGCTGTCAGACTTTGTTAGCAAGCTATTAATTATCTTTACCCTAGTTTCTTCTCAAGACTATATTACCCAATCAAATAGAAACTCCAATTATGCTCAACATCTACTGCCTAGGGACACAGGACCCTAATAAACAATCCATCCAGATGAAAAATTACAATTATCAGCTTTAAACATGCAAGTGTAAGTTAAAGAGATTTGTGTGTGTGTGTGTGTACGTGTGTGTTTGTGTGTGTGATGACTTTCTTGACCACACAACATCCTAAGGCTTTCTCCTCTCCATGGATTATTTTTAACAATTGTAAGCTTTCCAAATATCAGAAGCAAAGAATTTTCATTGCTTTAATGTTGTATGAATGTTTCTTCTTTCTTGCTGGTTAGTTTTGATATGCCAGTGTCTGTGTCAATATTAAATTAACTTTGATCATTTAAAAATTATTTGTTTTAGAGTTGCCATTTTAGTCAATCTACATTCCCCCTCCAACCCTTTAAGGTGGGTGGGCTATTTAACAAAGAATGTGATTAATGGCAAGACCCACAGCTAACCTAAAAATTCTGAATAAACCCCTTTATTTATTCCCTTACTTGTACCAGTTCATTTAAAGAGCATTATAAATACTTGTTTCGTGGCAATTGAGAAGCACCATAAATGTAATCAATGAGAGAAACAAGATTCAGTAAATTTCTTTAAAGCTGCAATTCCTCCCCCCCCCCCATCATTCTTCCCTCATTCCCACTTTCGCGCCCACCCCCCACCTTTTGCCCCTGAGGCCTTCACTGTTCTTCTCAACGGGAGGCTTTGTTGTAATTAAACCAGAGAAAAACTGGCCAGCAGCAGCCAACATCTGACTTGCGGCTTCTGAAAGCAGTGTTCTGGTAGCATGTACTACCCCCCAGCGGGCAAAACTCTACAGTAAATCTCGCAGCAATATTCATCCTCAAAACGGCATTTTCTCTCCTGAGCATTAAAAGGGATGCATCTCAGCTTCTAACGATCCACCATTTGCGAAAAGCTACCAAAACTCCACAAACCATTTTCCAACAAAGACATGATGAACATTTTTTGGAAAAAGGCATCATCCTTTCAAACACCAAAATAGGCATACACATTTGTGAAAGCATTTTGCAGTTTCAGTTCACAGAACAATATCACTAAATCTGGTTAAGTATCATAATAAAAGACAGTTTTAAAGCTTTTTTATATTATAAAAGGCAGCATGTTTCAGGACCACATTTTATCAATTAGAACTTTAGTGAAAAGATTTCAAGTAGAAAGGAACAAAATTAAATTTATGCAATAGCTAAAGTTTCGTTGTTTTGAATATGCATAATCTTTCCTATCCCCAAATCAGCTGTCAGGAATGTATAAAAAGCTCTCTTCAGGTATTCATCTGTTTAAAGGAGAGGAGTAAGAAATTACTCTCACTTTGATGAGACAATGACAGCTTTTGTCCTTTATTCTTTCGCTTTATTCTTTATATGTGCACAAATTACTGTGGCAACTTTGAAGAGAAAATTCACAGACCACATTTGGTTTAACACCATTTTTAAAGTGTGCACTCCACTGTGGATTGATCAGTTTATGTGTTGTTGACTTTCTTCATCTGGTTTAAATCATTAGTATCCTACTTGAACAGGAAAAACAATGTGCTTTAAGATTTTAGGTGGTTTCACCAACCAGCACAGAACATGCAACCCAGTTGTCCCAAATACATAGCATGCAGAAATTTAAATATTCAAAATTAAAATAGAATTACACTTACATGCTGAAAGAGGAATTTCAAGTTCACAGAGGCAAAACATTTATGGTCTAACAAAGGTAAACACACTTCTACCTTCACTTGCGCAAAAGTCAGCACAAAGTTAAAGCATGGAGCTTTAATGCTTTAATGCAAGAGAGCTTGCCTCCACCCTCTACCACTTACTTCCACTACCCTCTAAATTAATATCTTATTCCTTCCTACAAGTCTTGGTTCTCTAATTCATTTAGTCTTGCTTTCGTATTATAAGAGAAGAACATTCACTCTGATGAAAGATAACATCCCAGTTTACCTTTTAGTTTTAAGGATGCTTGATTTAACTTTACAAGCCAAAATAAATGAAACAGAATTAGATGCATTTATTACAAACTCACTGAGGGAAAGTAACATAATAAACAAGTAACATAATAAAGAGAAAGCAAAAAGCCTTTGTTTTGGAACTTTTATCCCCTATTTTTCATAAATGAAACAAAACTTGCGTCGTGCTAGAAAGTCGTCTGGATAAAACCAATAGGAAAAAGCACACTTGCTTCTCTGCCTCTTAGCAAACCCTTCCGACTTCATGACTCTCAAGAGGAGAGTTAGAGGTCCTTCTGCTTGCCTAGCATTAGACAAAAGAAGTGGAACTTTCCTGAAATCTGATGATCGTGGAAAATTTAACTACCAGACAGGCTGCTTAGAAAGCATTATTGCTGTCACTATCAACTAACCTGATGTACTCCAGTTTTTCAGTTTAACCATATATGTCATTTACTTGAAATACAATTTGTTGTTGCAAAGACAGCATTCACAAGTTATTTGTCTGGCTGATCTATCAGCAATTTTAACTTTTATAATTAAATCACTTTTTTAATATTCTAGATTGTAATTGTATACACTCCAGTTTTGCTAGAAGGATTCACAAACTTGGAAAATTCTGATTAAGCAAGCACTTTCTTTAATTTCAAGATTTTATTAAAATAATATAATTAACTTGCACTAGAAGTTCATATGGGATATTGTATTTTTAGATTTAATACTTTCTTAAGTTTCTGGCTTAAGAAATTCACAAGTCAAATCAATACAATGAAACAAAAACTTGCATTTGATTTAATATTTTTCAATGCAAATGATAATGATCAAACAAGTCAAATCAAAATCAATTTAAATAAAAGTTCTACAATAAAAGTCTTAGGAAGAAGCTAGCACTTAGATTCATATAACTTCATCTTAATTTAAGTTATATTTTCTAAATGTAAGAAATTCCTTTATTTCTCCAATATTCACACTTACAAAATTTTGTACTAGCAAAGAAGGATCATATAAACACAAACACATATATTGTCTCAAGTTCCTGATTTTATTTAAATACTTATTTTCTATTTCCTAAGATACCTCAAAATGATAGCATATATATCTATTTAAATGTTTTCTTAGATATATTATGAAAAACAGACATCGTACTTGATGATTACATTATAAATGAAACATATTAAATTGAATTCTACAATTTCTATTTTAAAAAGAAGCAGAATAGAAAGATCCCACTAAAATTTTGATTCATCACTAAGGGGATCATGCTCTTCTTCTTTTTGCTACTAATAATAAAAAATATTTTTTAAATATTCCATCAAATATGCAGGGCTCCAGTTATGTCCTTTTACCCCATTACCCCATTAACAATATTTTTCTAAAAGGCTGGTTGCTTTTTGTTCAGAGGCAATGGCCTCTTTCAAGCCTGTACAGATGGAAAAGCTCTGAAGTCTCTGTTGTAAAAACCTGGCCACAGGGTCTATGCCAGTAGGGGTCACTTTTGTTTTTATCCTTCACATTCAACTATAATGTCTGTGTGTGGATATGTAGATCCAGCTAGGAAAGGAAGAGGTCTAAATATGAGGAGAGTTGGATCTTTTATTTTTGGAAAGTTCATTATCACCTGAACATGACAAAAACCAATCCAAAAACAAAACGAAAACCTCAAAGTAGTTAGCACTATAGTTTGAAATATAGAGAAGAAATAAAACAGTCAAACATGAATTGTTCTGAGCTGAAGAAAAGGCTGCTGGGACATGCAAGCGCTGCTGGCAGGCAGAATCTTCATTGCGGAGTACCCTTCTTTCGTAACAAAGCTGTTTAGTGTTTCTGCCTTTTGTTTTAAAACAATTTGAGGAGGAGAGAATGACAGGTTTCCAAGAAATTAATGAGATTTGAGGTTTTCTGTTAATCCCACATTATTACCACTATTGTATGACTGGCAAATGGGAGTTTGCATACCAAACAATAGTAGAAGCAATTTCTCAAACATAGAGCAGGTAAAATAAATTGATCTCTCTTCTTTGCACAGCAATTTATTTTTTTTCTTCCTTTAGCTTAAAAATATGAAAATCAATGCATATGTTTTTAGAATCTGATTTAGTGAAATATATGTAGCTCACAACTTGCAAAAGCAGCTATTTTACCTCTGGTTATCATTGTGATGAGCATCTCTGACATACTCTGCTGTGCCCTCACATAGGGCAAACAACAATCCTGACTTGGCAAATTCATCATCTCAATTCTAGAGTATATTTATCTTGCCTTACTAATGTTCCTGAAAGATTTTTTTAAGGTTTAATTACTGGTAATTTTAAGCAGGTTCTCACTTGTTTCATTTCTAATCATTTTAAATTAGCATTTAATGTAATTTAAAGTAGTTATTCCCTTAAATTAACCTACATTGTTTTATACATTGGATAAATTATAAAGCTTAGAAAACATTTTCAGCAAAAACTTTTTAAAGTAATATTGTAATTAAAACTTTAACAGCCGGGTTTTTCATTTTCATACACAGAGAAAGCAACAGTTTACAAGAAAATGTATTATTGAAATACAATCCTAATGGGTAAAACCTCCATATTTAACAATACATCATCTAAACGTTCCTCTCTGAGCATTTTGCAGTATTCACTAGAGACTGCTTTATCTATCTATTACTTGCTGCTTTTGTTTCAAATTACCTAAGTGATACATTATATGTATTTATATTTTTTTTCAAGTTTCCTTCTGTTAATATAGTGTATGACAGCATTTGTATTTAGGAGCAAACTAGAGGAAATGAAATTTAAAAAAAAACTATCAGAAAAACATGGCCTTGTTCAGCATACACTTTCAGTAGCTTGTTTAAAGTCTAGAACAGATGCTATCCATGTTGGACACTACGTTATAAATGGCAGAGAAGCAAATTGCTACTATAGTCCTTATCTTGGGATCAAATATTCAGTTTTCTACATGTACAGAAAACACCTGAATAGGTGACCTTAAATTATTGATGTTTATCATACTACCTGCCTGCAAACCTCGATGAATATTAGACAAGGATAATGGACAAAACACTATCAATCACTTCTCTCTTCAGTCAAGCCTAAAAGACTTTTGTCAAAAATGAAAAGCACATAGGCTTGTTTATGCTTAAGCCTAGGAAAAATGCCCCTATTGGTTTTGAAATACTTCCTAGCTGGTCATTATAAGGATATAAAGCAAAATACTGCCCTTTCAATTCCAAATGCACATTTTTCAAGTTAAGTGAGCTAAATACATACTATAATAGTATTCTACAAAAGAATGAGATATGAATTTCATGTTCAAATATCTAGAGTTTCAAAATCACCAGGTAGTCCTTAGTAGCACCCTAAATAAGAAGGTGAACCCACATTCTGTATTTGGAAAACTTGACATTTGCAGGAAGAATCAAACAGTTACTGAGCAAATTCAAAGATCTAAAAATCTCTTAAAGCATTAAAACAATCTTTTCAACTCGAAATAGTAGGTTTTATGATTACATAAAAACGACATTAGAAAATGTCCAAAGCTGGGTGTAATCCCTGTAATTTTAGCTACTCAGGAGTCTGAGATCTGAGGATCATGGTTTGAAGCTAGCCAGGCAGGAAACTCCATGAGACTTAATAAACTTAATAGACTACTGAGGAAAAGCCAGGAGTGGTACTATGGCTCAAGTGGTAGAACACTAACCTTGAGAAAAAGAAGCTCAGGGACAGCTATCAGGCCCAGATTTCAAGCCCCAGGACTGGAAAAAAAATGAATGTCCAAAAACACCATGGCATTTTTATCAAAAGTCCTTGATGTATATTTGCTCACCTCTCTGACATATATCTGTTTGCCTCTTATAAAAGATTTTATTATTTTAATGCCCTAGATTTTAAAGTGGCCTTAGAGAGATTAGCCTGAATTGGAAGGCCATGGAAGGAGCTTACTGCCTCATGAATAAAGCTTTGCCTCTGTGTCTAATTCAATGTAATGTTAAGAATCAGTTAACAGGGGAAATTTTCTGCTGGAAGACAATTGCTACTGTTTCTACTTAACTTACAGAGTAAAATATTAAGCATAAAAACAAAAAAAGTCAATAGTTGCTTTCTATCAGCAATTATGGTGAAAAATGTGTTGCTTAAAAATATAGAATTGGTATTTCTTTAGTGTGTTAAAATTCATTATTAATAGTTCATTGTAACCTTTTACTTTCACAGGAGATGCTCAGTCCTCCTCTATTTTAAAGAAGAGAAATACAAAGGAAATTTAGTGTGCTTCCTTTTCCTTCCATGAAGAACATTCAAATTATTTCCTTTACCTCTTCAAAGAGAATACCTGTACTTCTATAACGTGACTGGACCAGAAATTCTGAGAAATCAGCAAGAAGCAAAAGCTGGAAATCACTCTTTCACAGCAGGTAATCATACTTCAGGATGTAGGATGTAACTACTGTACAAAGTTTATACTTGGATAATCCTGGATGGGAATAAAGGTAGGGGGTAAGTGCCTGAAAAACCTATTACTATACAGGCCTTAGCATCATGAATGGCTTTCTTCATGAGGATCTGAAGTTACTATCTCTGACCACATTGCATGGAAGAGCCAATCAGAATTTCAAAGAGGGCAATTTCCACTAAGGGAATTAAGCTACACAAAAGAAACCTTCACACAGAAACTCTATCAGAAAGGAGGAGAAAAAAAAAAATAAAGAAAGAAAGAAACATAGGAAGCCATGCGTCCTGCATAGTAACAGGAAGCTGAATTGTTTCTGGCCCCTACTTTCATGTGCTTGCCCACCAAGCTGAACCACAGCTGGAATGTTCATTGACAACAGCGAGCCTGATCTAGAGGTGTGTGCGGCATAGGAGTACTTGAATAAACAGTGAAGAATATTTCCAAGGACTAAACAAGAGTTTGTAAGTCCCAGCCCCTCACCAGGAAAATAATACACGTGCATTGGACTCTCACCCCACGCAAAATTTACTCACATCATTCTATAAGGTAGGAAAAAATACAAAGTATTTTACTTTCATGCCTAAAATTATAAAGGCTAATTAGTATCTAATAATACAGGAGGGATTATATTACACAATAGATCTGTATAAATCCATATTTGTCCACTACATGAGGAAATTTAATAAGATTTTAAGCTAGGATTTAGAGGAAGGTAACTGTACAGTGAAAAAACATCTTATGAGATAGAAAATAATGAAAAATGTAATGTTAGTAAATCATGCAGTCTGAAACATAACAAATTCAGAACAGAATAAATAACTTAATATGAAATGGAATTGTCCATTCCACCATCTGGATTTACTAGCTAGATCATTCTACAGATTCCTTCTTCTTATAAGAAATACATTTTAACAACATTTAATACTAATGATGCAAGATAAAAGGATAGTATTAATAATCAAAGAAAATGGTTAGCTTTATTGAGATTGAAGATGTCAAGATGTGTTACTACTTCTCATCAGAAAAAAAAAACCCACAATTTTTTCCTTCACATTTCTATAACTGTGTAGTATTGAATTAAGAAAAAAAGTAGATAGGAAATTTTGATTTTTAAGAACAATAAAAGCATATTTAAATATAACAAATTAAATTCTGACACACCAATTATTATGACTATCATCAAGAGAATTTACAAACCTCATAAGCTTGGTTAGTCACTAGCTGTAATACGGAGGGCAAATATACTTGAAATGTTGTAGATTACTTAATAAAACTGTAATTACAATGAACATTTCAAAGTCTAAATGCATTTAGAACACAATATTTTTTAATTTATATACCAGAAACACCTAAGGTTAAAAAAAACACCACATTTGTGTTATTATGCTTATTTTCAGCCAGCAATAAACCCTAGTATGTCCCTGTTTCCACTCCCCCCGCCCAGATTCAGATATTGAAAGGGACTGTAGATGCTTTATTAATCAAACTTATTATAAAGATTGCTCAGTGTGCTAAGCTTGATTGTTTCCTGTCATTCTTATTCTTATTTTAGGTGAAAAGAAGCTACCTTGTGTGAGGACCTCAACACTGCTGACCATGACCAGCCCAGCCTGGAGCCTCTTCCTCATCGGGACTAGAATTGGGCTGTTTTTACAAGTTGTACCTCTCTCCGTTATGGCTAAATCCTGCCCATCCGTGTGTCGCTGTGATGCGGGTTTCATTTACTGTAATGATCGCTTTCTGACATCCATTCCAGCAGGAATACCTGAGGATGCTACAACTCTCTACCTTCAGAACAACCAAATAAATAATGCTGGGATTCCTTCAGATTTAAAAAACTTGCTGAAAGTAGAAAGAATATACCTGTACCACAACAGTCTCGATGAATTTCCTACCAATCTTCCAAAGTATGTAAAAGAGTTGCACTTGCAAGAAAATAACATAAGAACTATCACTTATGATTCGCTTTCCAAAATTCCTTATCTGGAAGAATTACACTTAGATGATAACTCTGTCTCTGCCGTTAGCATCGAAGAGGGAGCATTTCGCGACAGCAACTATCTCCGACTTCTTTTCCTGTCCCGGAACCACCTGAGCACAATCCCCTGGGGGCTGCCCAGGACTATCGAGGAGCTGCGCTTGGATGATAATCGCATATCTACTATTTCATCACCGTCTCTTCAAGGTCTGACTAGCCTGAAACGCCTGGTTTTGGATGGAAATTTGTTGAACAATCATGGGTTAGGGGACAAAGTTTTCTTCAACCTAGTGAACTTAACTGAGCTGTCCTTGGTACGGAATTCCTTGACGGCTGCACCAGTAAACCTTCCAGGCACAAACCTAAGGAAACTTTACCTTCAAGATAACCATATCAACCGGGTGCCCCCGAATGCCTTTTCTTATTTAAGGCAGCTGTACCGACTCGATATGTCCAATAATAACCTAAGTAATTTACCTCAGGGCATCTTTGACGATCTGGACAACATAACCCAACTGATTCTTCGCAACAATCCCTGGTACTGCGGGTGTAAGATGAAGTGGGTGCGGGACTGGCTACAGTCCCTGCCGGTGAGAGTTAACGTGCGTGGGCTCATGTGCCAAGCCCCAGAGAAAGTTCGGGGAATGGCTATCAAGGACCTCAACGCAGAACTGTTTGATTGTAAAGACAGTGCGCTTGTAAGCACCATTCAGATAACCACTGCGGCACCCAACACCGTGTATCCTGCTCAAGGGCAGTGGTCAGCTCCTGTGACCAAACAACCAGAGATTAAGAACCCCAAGGCCGCTAAGGATCAGCGAACTACGGGGAGTCCCTCGAGAAAAACAATTACAATTACTGTGAAGTCCGTCACCTCTGACACAATTCATATCTCCTGGAAACTGGCTCTACCTATGACTGCTTTAAGACTCAGCTGGCTTAAGCTGGGCCATAGCCCAGCCTTTGGATCTATAACAGAAACCATCGTGACTGGGGAACGCAGTGAATACTTGGTCACAGCCCTGGAGCCCGATTCGCCCTACAGAGTATGCATGGTTCCCATGGAAACCAGTAACCTTTACCTATTTGATGAAACTCCTGTTTGTATTGAGACCGAAACTGCGCCTCTTCGAATGTACAACCCTACAACCACCCTCAACCGAGAGCAAGAGAAAGAACCTTACAAAAATCCAAATTTACCTTTGGCTGCCATCATCGGCGGGGCTGTGGCCCTGGTGACCATTGCCCTTCTGGCTTTAGTGTGTTGGTATGTTCATAGGAATGGGTCTCTCTTTTCAAGGAACTGTGCATACAGCAAAGGGAGGAGAAGAAAGGATGACTATGCAGAGGCTGGCACTAAGAAGGACAATTCTATCCTGGAAATCAGGGAAACGTCTTTTCAGATGTTACCAATAAGCAATGAACCCATCTCCAAGGAGGAGTATGTAATACATACCATATATCCTCCTAATGGAATGAGTCTGTACAAAAACAATCACAGTGAAAGCAGTAGTAACCGAAGCTACAGAGACAGTGGCATTCCAGACTCAGACCACTCACACTCATGATGCTGAAAGACCCTCAAGCAGACTATGTTTCAGGTTTTTTAAACCTAAGGGAGGTGATGGTAGGAATCCTGTTCTACTGCAAAACACTGGAAAAAGAGACTGGAAAAAAAAAAGCAATGTACTGTACATTTGCCATATAATTTATATTTAAGAACTTTTTATTAAAAGTTTCAAATTTCAGGTTACTGCTGCGATTGATGTAGTGGAGATGCCTGAACACAATTCTATATTTTAGTATTTTTTAGTAATTTGTACTGTATTTTCCTTGCAAATATTGAAGTTATAAACCATTTACTTTGTGTTCTACTGAGTAAGATGACTTGTTGACTGTGAAAGTGAATTTTCTTGCTGTGTTGAACAATCAGGACTGCGTTCACATGAGATCCTTGTAGTATAAGCACAGGCCATTTTTCACTTTGGTATTGATAAAATGTAAAAAAACAAACTGGCTGAATGAGAAAAAGATAAATTTTAAAACTAGCTATGAAATAATGTTCTAATTATTAAATTTGTATTATCCCAGTGGTATTCAATAAATCAAAATATGTGAAGTAATGGGCAATATCTAACTTGCTGCATATTTCCATTTTTTGCTCTAGGCAAATTAAATATCCTTAAGAAAGTTAAGCAAATCTTCTGAACTGAACGCATCAGCTGGCATAAAGGACCGTGAAGTCTTGTTAAAATCATTATCAATAAAGCTTTAAGAATAAATGACTTCACAAAAACAACAATATAAATATGCTTCTGAGTTAGGGGAGGAATATGTACTTAGGAAAAAACATGAAAACTTAGACTTGTACATGTAATAAACACAAGTACTAAAATGCATTTTGGTTTCATCTATACCATCTTGATTTTTACAAAGTGAATTGTAAACACAAAACTGTTAGTGTTTATGATGTTTTTATTATAAGATATCACAGAGCAAGCTTATGCATTATTAAAAAGATAGCATAACCATAAGCAATTCCCCTCGACAATCCAGAAAAAGTAGTGCTCTGAAGTGAGAACTCAAAAGAAAAATAAATACTAGAAATCAAATTTAGATCAGTTTTATGTGAGACATTTTTAACACTGTACATAAAATGTCCAAGTTACTTTCACAATGATCAAGAATACTGCCCATTACTGTCACAGTTTTCCAAATATTACATAATGAACTTGTAACATTTCCTTATTGCTTCCTACTGAATTGTAAGCTACAATTGTTTAAAAACCATATCACTTTTTGTTGTCATTTTTTTTCCAACAAAAAACCAAAGTGCATTGTACGCCCTTTGGCCAGTCTTGTATGTGCCTTGATCCAATGCTACATGTATTCAGCTTTCAAAACTCGACAAATTTTTCATACTTCCTTAAATATGAAAAATTATGGTCTTATTGCTGAATAAAACTTAAGAAAAAAGTACAGAATAATCGTGCTTGCTTTCGGGATTATGTTACTATCATGAAAGTAGCAAATTGCCCAGCACATTAAGTCCTAAACACCCCATGTATTTTTCTAGGTATAAAAATAAAAGTTGGCTACAAATAAAAATATAGCAATATTTTGAGGCTGTGTATCATTTTACTTCAAAGAGTCAATGTTGTACATATAAATGTATTTACTTTGCTTATATATTCTATAAATGGAAAACTTTAGAAATGGACCTTATCCTTTCTTATGCCTTGCTGCCATTGTTCTGGCTGATAGCTCTTAAGGTGCTCTTTGAAAAGCAGGTTTATATCTGAAATATGCTTTCAGGTACAGTGGGCTGTCATCAAAGGATTTGAAATTTTGTAACTACTACTTAGATGGTGTATACTTACAGAGTAAACCATTCTTCCTAGCTCAACTTCTCTAAAAGTAAAATTTATTAATAGCACCCATTTCACAGGGTTTTGTAAGTATTAAAGAAGAAGATACCTATGAAAACTGTAAAAAGTTCTGTAAATCCTGAAAATCTGCCTTCAGTTCCCAGAGGTTTGCTGATTATTGCTGCTCATACTACTGTGCTGGCACAGAGGTTTCCAGCTGACTATGAAATGTTCATCATTCATCTGTCATCTTCAAAATATTACCAACAATTTCTTGTTCTACTTCCTGTTTTAGAGGACAGATGTTTCTAGGACCAACTTAACCAAGGCAATGTTCTCTGAAGTTTGACTTTGCTTCTAGAGGATTTGAAAGGTTCTGCTACAGTCTGCTAGAAGTTAGAGAAAGGAGTGTATAGTTTCATAAAGGTCCTATAAACCTATTGCTTAAAAAAATCCAAAACGGAAGCACTTATATTGACTGTTTTCTAGTTAGTATGATTTTCATGAACAGAGAAAAATTTATGTATAGTTTTAGACATCCCTTTGTGTTATTTCATGATGAGTAAATTAGAAATGATTTTTAACTCTGAAATGTACAGAGTATTAAGGATTTGGTATTATATAGCACACACACATATTCAGAAAGCAAGAAAAAAGAAAGAGAATGTAATAGCATAAGTCCCCAGATAAAAGGACAATAAACAATACATATATTTCAACTTGTCTCAAACAAAATATTTCCTTTTTTAACTGATAAAAGTATCCATAAATCAGGTATTAAAAAATTATAAGAAGAAAAAAATACAATTCCAAATACAATATATAAAAAAGAACACAACTTGGATAGCTAGAAAAAAATATAGGAGAAAAAAGTTGCTCCCAAGCTACATGTATAACAAAAATTTTACATTATTCTTAGATAAAGTCATTTGTAAACTGCATGAAATTACTGCATTTAGGTCCTTGTTCCTTAATAGAAACAACACTGTTCTCTATGCTCTATCATTCAGAAAGACAGACTTATTGAAAGTATTCCTCTGAGACTCTTATCTCCAATAAACTACTCAGAAATACCTGGAAGGGGCGCTGTGGCTCAAGTGGTAGAGCACTAGCCTTGAGCACAAACTGGCTTGGGGACAGCACCTAGACCCAGAGTTCAAGCCCCAGGACCAAAAAGAAAAAAGTATTTCTCAGTGGCAAAGGAACTAGTTTTTGTTGTTGTTTTGTTCAAAAATGCTTTACTACCTACAATTCCTGGCTAAAGCACATTTTGTGACTTTTTGCAATATTACAGGTTTGGGTGATGAAAACAGAGAGACCTACAATCTGTAAAGCATCTGAAAGATGGGTTGAAGGCGCCAATCCACTATCAAGTTATGTTAACATTAGTTCATCTGCTGCTGAAAACAGCAGTGGCATTAAGATGGCAATTCCTTTCTCCTAGCTAGCATGATTAGCAAATCCCAGTTTAGCAGCCTAGGAATTACTGTACATTTTGTTAGGGGAATACTTTTGGTTAAATTAGTTAAAAAAAAAAACAACAACTCATGATTATCAATCATTTGAACTTCAAAGTTGAATGAGTTGTAGTAACTGGTTTCTGTATGATAAATAACATAAGGAATGCCATGAAGAAATGTGTTGTCTAGGGACTGAAAGGAAAAATATTGAATTTAATGGAAGTGTACTACTTCTGCACTATAGAGGAAGACACGATTACATCTAGAGCAGGATGGATCAAAAAGGACCTGACTGAGGCAAAAATGGGCTAAGAGGAAATGCAACAAGAAAGCAATGAAGAGAAAATAGTGAATAACAACACAAACACAGGGGTAAAGGCAATGTTTCTCATACCAGGCTTTTTGTCAGACTCACTTAGGAAGATATTTTCACTAAGGTAACCAGGACTCAATATAAACATATTGGGCATTTATGTTTTATTTTAATTTTAAAGGTGACTCAGGTATACTTGAGGACCATTGATTTAAAGGTATTTGGAAAAAAGATCAGCTTTCCAATGGAATTATAGACTGTGAAAGAGGAAATATTAAAAATTTGTTCTACTTGTTTTTGTGTTTGATTTGGTTTTGGTTTTGATTTTACATTAGTTTTCTATTTTACATTAATATCTTGAATTCTAAGCTGAAACTTCTGCTCTGGCAATAGTTCTTGAACAAGTATGTAAAAAGTCAGTGTACTTTAGAAACATTGGGTAAAAATAGGATACTGTGGATTAATAAGGAAAATATGAAGAAATAGATAACTTAATATTCTTGGACAGTGATGTGTTACCAGTGAAATGGGTTTAAAAAACAGAAAAAAGAAAAGTCTAATTAAAAAGATACCAAAAGGGGCTGGGAAGGTGGCTCAGTGGTAGAATGCTTGCTTTGCATGCATGAGACCCTGGGTTCGATTCCTCAGCACCACATAAGCAAAAAGAAAAAAGCCGGAAGTGGCGCTGTGGCTCAAGTGGTAGAGCGCTAGCCTTGAGCTGAAGAGCTGAGGGACAGCACCCAGGCCCAGAGTTCAGGCCCCACGACCGGACCCAAAAAAAAAAAAAAAAGATGCCAAAAAAGGGAAATCTTTGAAAATAGAATAGGTAAGTAGTTGAAGCAATTAATGAAAGTAGAAAAAATGTAGAAGTCCTTTTCAGATTAGTCTCTCTGAACTACATACATTGAATTCAAATAGGTGACTATCACAGAATAGGTTTACTTACATCTGCTAATTCTTTTTTGCAGGGGGTGTGGTGGAGGCTGGATAGACTCTAGGCCTGAGCACTATCCCTGCCTGAGCTCTTCAGCTCAAGGCTAGCACTCTACCACTTAAACCACAGAGCCACTTCCGGTTTTTCTGGTTCACAGACTTTCCTGCCCCACCTGGCTTTGAACCACGAGCCTCAAATCTCAGCCTGAGTAGCTAGGCATGAGCTACCATTGCCCAGCTTCTGCTAATTACTTAATAATGCCCTCTTCAATCCTCAGTACCCACTCAGTTTAGATGACAAAATTGCCTGGGATTCAAAGTATTATTATATTAGCCTTCTGGAAATGTGTATGAGGTTAAAATCTCATTTTAGGTTAGGAAACAGAAGCTCGGAATTAAGGAAGGAAATCTAAATTAGTATGTTATTAAATTGAGGGAGAGTGAGACAACAGAATAAACATTCTTTGTTTTAAGATTCTTTCCCCTCTTCTACCCAAAGGGTACGAGGAACCTAAAACAAACAAGAAAGCAAGAAACAAACAAAAATGGCTGCAGAGGAAGGAAAATAGTCTTAGAAAGAAAAAATCATGGAGTCAAAATCCAAATAATTTTTAGAGGTGGATGTCATAAAAGTGTTTAGGATATCACTACAGTAGAGGATACTACCAAATATAGAGAATGAGTATAATCGCTGTGTTTGTTGAATAATAAAGTAAATAATTTTAGGATACTGACAAGTTAATGAGAGATAAAGAACACAAACAATATTAGAATATCTCCTTTTTAAAGAGCTAGGAAGGTATAGAGGTCTTAGTAGGTAATGGCAGGTATAAGATAGACAAAAAGTAAATGACTAAGAGAAAGCTTTATTAATCTCAGGAATAAAATGAGATATAAAGACGGGAATCTCCAATAATAGGGGGCAGATTTAATAGATGAAAAGAAAACTGAGAAGCTCAAGGGGCGACAGCAAAGACATGGATGCTCTAAAATGACTGAAGCAAAGGCTAAGACTTAGAAGCTGCAGCTGTTGGAAGAGTCACTAGCAAGGAGGTCAAAGTCAATGAGAGATGAAAGGGTAGATATGAAATTCAGGTTTAGAAGGCAGGTTCCAAGGAAAATAAGAAAATATTCCAAATATAAAAAGAATGGAGACAATGACAAGTTATTTAAAAAGATTAAAAACACAGATTTCAAACAAAACATTGTTGGAGCTAGGTGTCGGTAGCTCATGCCTATATTCCTAGCTACACAGGAAGCTGAGAGCTGAAGATTGTGGTTCGAAGTCAGCTCAGGCAGGAAACTCCATGAGACTCTTATCTCCAACAAACTACCCAGAAAAAGCCAGAAGTAGTGATTTGGATCAAGTGGTAGATTCTGGAGCCTTGAACAAACAAAACTCGGGGATAGCACCCAGGCCCTGTGTTTAAGTCCCAGGACTCGTAGAAAGGAAGGAAGGAAGATTTTTAAAATCAATTACAAATACGGATCTTTCAGGACTCTGGGGGGGGGGGGAAGCTCTGACATTTCCTACCTACCATTCCATGTTCCTCCCCAGTTTGATTAAAAAGTAACAGTAATTCATAAAGGAAATGACAGTAAAAGTATTGTCCTTAAATATGGGTGTCAATTATTCCAAGTTGTGGAAAAATGCAAAGTAAAATTTCTATCACTTGGAAAACTGGAATAACAACAGCAAAAAGGCTTGCAGTAGATTTAGTAAGGAGAAAGATTAGAAAAGAGCTCACACTCTTAGATGGAAAATAACATGAAAAAGGAAAGCAGCAGTAGGGAAAAGCATTGCATCTAGGACTTTACTTGATGATCACAGTTTGGGTTTTGTTTTTGTTTTTGTTTATTTTAAAGTAGACTGATGAAAAGTCAGCTGAAACTCC